CTGGCGAGCGCCTTTGTTCCCCACCAAACTGAGCTCTGTCGTCCAGGGGCTCAGTAGCTCTCCTTCCCTTTGTCCTCCAGCCTTCCCGCTTTCCGAGCAGAGCTGTTAACTTATGACCTCCCAGACGCTAAGTGGCGCTTGCTGTCGGAACACAGTCCGTCAGGCCCCTCCGCTTTTTGCAAGCCAGTCTCGGGGGCTCTGCTTGGCCGGTGAGCCGCCCCTCCGCCCCGGCTCCCTCCCGCCAGTCCGTGGAGCGCGCACCGCCTCGCCGCCCTTCCTACCCTCTTCCCTGGGCCTCTGGTCTGCGCTTGGCTCCGGCGACTCCGTTCTGCTAATCCTCTGGCGGTTTTCTGGGTTATTTAGGCAGGTGTAGGTGGAATCTAAGTGATCAGCAGGACGCGCGGTGAGCCCAGCGTCCTCCTACGCCGCCATCTTCCCTACCTCTCTCACCTAGAATATTTCATTTAATGTTTGTCCGTTATATTTTCTCCCTTTCTGTAAAATATAGTGTAGTATCTGGATAGCCAAGAATTGCTTAAGAAAGATATGCATTAAAAAAAAACTTTTCTCATAGAATGGATTTTTTATAATATATTTTACATGTGGCCCCAAAATGTTTTACAGTTAATAGAGCTAGGTTTTAGATAAAAGTCCAATATTAGTGAAATTTTTAAAAGTGTGATTTTTAATCATATGTGTTTCTTATATACAACAATATTTGATGTGTAACCCTACCCTTGTTTCTATATGAGCAAATATTTTCCAAACGATTGCTCATGTGTAGAAACATGTATCAGTGTTTATTATTTCCCATTATAATTAGTTGTAAATTCTGAGATGTTCCTATTTATAAAGAAAAAGGACGCTCAAGCATTAAGGTAATAATAGTGATAATATTCATTAATTATTACACTAATAAAATTCAGATATTTTTGAAGCAACAAGGAATTCATTCTGTGGTAACTACAATCTCAGGGCTTGCTTTTTCATTATTTTGGGGCTCTTTAGCTAAAAGTTAATTGCAGTGGTATTATTATGCATATAAGAGCCAGCCATTTTCTTTCAATTATGGGTATTTCAGGAAACTGTATTTCAATCCTAGAATTTGGGATATTCAAGATACACATGAAACTGATACTAGAAAGCACAGGATAAGAGATCCCTAGTATCTCAGTCTTATGATGCCTTTGAATAGACCAGACTCCAAACAGTTTTACACTAGCATTCACATAGTAAGCTTAGGTGTATTGTTCAGTTTAATAGTTCTCTGCATTAAAACAAAGAACTGTTTATACAGTGAAAAGATGAGGGTGTATGTGGTCAGTTTTAGAAAATTCTTTTAAACTGTGGAATACGGGACAATATTTGTAGATGTACCATGTGCCACCTTGTTGGTAATACTTTAAAGGAAGAAAGTGTATTTGAACACAAGAACATGTAGAGCTGTAATATTGAATGATTTTAATTATCATAATTAATCAAAATTGGCATTTTGTTACATTTTCTAGGCAATTAAGTTGGAGTATTCAAGATTGGTTAAATTGGCCCAAGAAGACACTCCACCAGAAACAGATTATCGTTTACATCATGTAGTGGTCTATTTTATCCAGAACCAGGCACCAAAGAAAATCATTGAAAAAACATTGCTAGAACAATTTGGAGATAGAAATTTGAGTTTTGATGAAAGGTAATTTAAGAAAATTAAAATGTGAAATATCTAACATATTGTTAAATTGTCTTTTGAAAATTGCTTTTAGTGCAGTTTCTAAATGTTTATACATATTCAAAGAAAGACCTATTTCATAAATACAGCACAAAACTTAGACTTCCCTTAATTTTGAACAGTTGTTTTGGAATTTCTCTGGAGTTTATAGTCATAACCTTTAGAAGTTTGAGCTGAAAATAATTTATATTGTTTTAGTACATTTTACTTGTTGACCAAGATACTGAGCTAAGCAACATAAAGATGTACAGAAGAATGTAATGTAAGCACTACCCTTTGGGGACTTAATATTTTAGGGAAATAAAGAATTTCTAGTCTCTGCACTATGTATATTTTGAGTGAGATAGTCATTTATTGTGGGAAGCTGTCCTATAATTTGTAGGATATTTAGCAGTGTTCCTGACCTGTACCTGCTAAATGTCGGTAACGCCTCCCTCAAGAGGTGACAACCCAAAGTGTCTCCAGATGTTGAGAGATAACCCCTTGAAGAGCAAAATTACCCGCATTTGACAATCACTAGAGAAAAGTACTTAACCGTATATGCTAATAAAATAAAATAGTTAAATGTCCTCTGACATCAAGAGAAGCCTTAAAATGGTTAAATTACAGTTCACCCTTGAACAATGTGGAGATTAGGGGCATTGACCCTCTGTGCAGTTGAAAACCTGTACATAAAGTTGTGTAACTTTTGACTCTGCTAAATTTAAACTGCTAATAACTTCCTCTTGACTGGAGGCCTTACTGATAATGTAAACAGTCGATGAACACATATTTTATATGTTCTATGTATCAGATACTGTATTCTTACAATAAGGTAAGCTAGAGAAAAGAAAATGTTATTAAAATCTTAAGAAAGAGAAAACACATTTACATTATTGTAAAAAAATCTGTGTGTAAGTGAACCCATGAAGTTCAAACCCATGATGTTCAAGGATCAACTATAGTTTGGTTTACCCAAAAATGTTTTCTTGTGAAAATTCCTATAAACTATAATTATTGGCTGAAGTTGGAAAATTAAAATACAATCTAGTTAAAATGAATACCATTAAAAAATTTAGGCCTCAGGTAAACATCAAAGTATTAGAAGTTATTTTATTTTTATTTTTTTAAGTTTTTTTATTTATTGTGATAGAGTATGGAAGGGAAAGAGAGTGAGGGAGAGTGAGAGGATCCCAAGCAGGCTCTGCACTGTCTGCGTAGAGCCCAACGCAGGGCTTGAATTCACAAACTGTGGTGATCATAACCTGAGCTAAAATCAAGAGTTGGATGCTTAACTGAGCCATATAGGCACCCCAGGAACTTATTTTAGAATACAGAATCGTTTATGTTATCTTGGGGTTTGTAGTCCATTTTAATTCTGAAATAAGTTATTATCCTTTCTTGAATATCTCAAAAATACTGAATTAAAAATCTATGTGGCAGAGAAGAAAATGAGGAAAACAAAGCATCTAGGACTAAATTCCTGCTTCACCATGTATCTGCTGTGAAATTTAGGATTAAGTGAAGTAATACAAGTAAATGGTTTTGAACAATATGTGATAGATAATAAAGTGCTCATTGAATGTTGACTGTTATATTTTATTTGTAGTCGTAGGAACATCATTTATTTTATATGTAACCACAAAGAGCTCAGAAATATGCCAGATTATGACCCTTATTGTTTGGGCTGTTGGGACACCATGTTCCAGTGAATATACGCTATTGAATTGGGGGCAAATATTAATGGGGTAATCACATTCACTTTCACTCTTTTGTAGTTATTTGTCCTGAGGACTGCAAATTCATTAGTTCGTTTTGATAACCTAATTTGTCTTATACTTGAAAAGTTAAGATGCATGCGATAGCTAAACATACTCTGCAGAGATTTCTTTAACAATGATTCTGATCATACATGTGCAACAATGTCTCTATTACCTGAAATGATAGGCACAGTTTAGATTCCTTTTTGCTGTTTATGAATCATGCCATTTGAAATGGGAAGATGAGATTTAATATCTCCTGAGCTTGCTTAATATATATATGTTATAAAAAAACACATTTCATTTGTTTTTACTTATACAATATGTATTAATAAAATGTAATTTAAAAGCCATTTGTAAATATAACATGTAAATTTGAGGTAGCATTATTGATGCTGTCTACTTTATATACTTTGTAACTATCCAGTCCAACATTGATCCAAAAAACATTTTCAATTAAAGTTATTTGAGAGTTGCTTCCTCCAAAAGTATTGCTTAGTGACAGTGGATTTTATTTTCACGTATGTTGGGTAGTTTAGTTTTATGTCACATGCTTTTCACTTTTTATGAATTTCACTCTTGATTTACGAATATATTTCTTTTATTTGAAGGTGTCACAACATAATGAAAGTTGCTCAAGCCAAACTTGAAATGATAAAACCTGAAGAAGTAAACTTGGAGGAATATGAGGTAATGTACCTTTTGAGAGGTTGAACTGTAGATTGAGGAATTTCGGTAGTTCACTGACCTTTCTTTCATTCCCTCACCACTGAGCACATTTCATTATTGGACAGTGTTGTACATGTGAGAGAACATGCATGAGTGCTCATATCGTGCTTGTGGTAATTTTTGTACACAAAATTCTTTGTGTTAACTTTGGCTTTAAAATTAATACTGTTTTTTTTTTTAGTTTACCAATTCAAACACCCAGTATTTCTTTAGACTTTTAAACTTAACTTTATACATTGCCTTTTTAAATTTACAAACCTAGTAAGTTTTTAAATTAATTTACTTTTGAGAGAGAGAGAGTGTGTGTGTATATGAGTATGAGCAGGGGAGGAGCAGAAAGAGAGAGAGAGAGAAAGAGAAAATACCAAGCAGGCTCATAAGGGCTCGATCTCACGAGCCATGATATCATGACCTGAGCTGAAATCAAGAGTAGGACGCTTAACTGACAGAGCCACCCAGGCACCCCTATCTAGTAAATTTTAAGTTGATTTCACGAGTGCCTTTGATTAATTTTGGTCACATTTACAAACTTAATGACTTCACGTTCTCTTAAACAATTATTGTAATTCACCACATTAACATATAGGAGGAAGGATATAGAAAAATAATCATTTTTGAAAAAAATCCTGAGCTAACCTGAAATACAACTATGATAATCTACTAAAGAGTGTCTCAAAAAAAACAACAAAACTGCATAGCAAAAATCATGTGGAACTATGGACATTGAAAGCTTTCCTTTTGTGATCAGGAAAAAGACAGGGATGTCAGCAACCACTCTGCTATTCAGAATTGTACTGGAAATTCACGTGGGCAGCAAGGCAACAAACATAAGCAAAAAGTAAAAGATTTTAAAAGAAGAAACAAAGTTATCATTATTTGCAGATTTTACACCTAGAAAATAAAAAATCTACAGATAAATTTATTAGAACTAATAAAACAGTTTTCCAACAGGCAGAACTTATGTCACATACCAATTTCATTCTTTTATCCCAGCAACAGATAATCGGAAAATGAAATTTTAAGAAAATGACACCATTTACAATAGCATCCAGAACTATAGAGTAACTAGAAGTAAATTTAACAAGAGATGTGCATGACTTTAGGAGACATTAAAGAAGACCTAAATAAATGGATATACATACTATGGAAAACTTAGTATTGTAAAGATGTCATTTTTTGCCCAGAGTAGTTTATTGATTCATTGCAGTCCCTGTCAAACTTTTAGCAGATTGTTTGATGGAGCTTGATAAGCTGATTCAAAATTTTTATGAAATGTGGACATCTCAGTCTAGCCCAGACATTCTTGAAGAACGTAGGATGGCTCATTCTACTAGAAATCAAGAGGTAGCATTCTTAACTGTTATGCTTTATAATAGTAATAGCATAAGGGTAGGTAACTTACAACAAGATAGCAGAAGAGAAAATCTAAGAACATGCTCATAATATATGCCAGAGATGACAAACAAGTGGGTTGGTTACTCACTCTACCCTGTCCCCAAGATTCAAGTTACATGAAACTTGATTTTTAATTATGATTTTGCCTCTGCACTCCATCCCCAGGGTTGCAACATTAGATTCACTTTAACATATTTTTGTTCTGAAAACTTCTCATATTTCTAACTGCAGAGCCATTAAATCTTACAGGTATTTATAGGACATGGTTTTAGATTCTGTGTATCCCATATATCTTTATCCTGCTCTGAGTCATGAGTCAGCCAGCCTTGGCCCACAGACCAAATCCAGCCTACCACCAGCTTTTATAAATACAGTTTTATTGGAACACAACTACAACTATTTGTTTATGTATTATACACAAGTGTTTTTACACTACAATCACAGAGTTGAATAGTGACAACAGAGACTACATGGCCTGCAAAGCCTAAAACACTTACCGTCTAGCTCTTTACAGAAGAAATTTACTCACAACTCCTCAGACAGTTCTAATGACAGTAGAGTGGCAATTTAAATACTTTCCCAGAAAAGCTAACTTCACACTTGTAGGACAAATTTTATCTTTATGTGTTATTAAGGGCTACTAATACTGTAAGATTATGCCTCAAAAAATTAAAATTAAAAATTAATTTATATTCCAAAAAAAAAAAATAAAATAAAATAAAAATAAAAAAATAAAAATAAAAATAAAAAAATAAAAAAATAATTTATATTCAAGGACAGTATAGTTGCTCAACTGGTCTGTATGTTTCTTACTTTCATTTGCTTATGTAATATGTATATAAGAGCTTTAATACTTTTATTATCAGTATCTTTGTTTAAATCCTATATTGAATTTGGTTATGGTTTTCCTTGAAAAATTTTTTTTAAATAAGTTAAAGAAAAATCCTGATTTGTTGTCTTGAGTTAGAGGGTGTCAGTTCTAAATTGTTTAGTCCTATTATATGCCTGGTAATTGGTTTTTTTGGAGGAAGAGACAGCTGAAATGTGACATGCTTGTATATTTTTCACCATACCTCAGATGAATAAACTACTCAGCTACCACATTTAAAATAAAATTTAACCTAAATTTGGCAAAAATAAAAGGTTAAATAAATGCATTATACTGTTTTTCTTTTAGTTTCTTAATATTCTTCATCAAATAATAGTCTTCAGTGTTGATTCTGTTAGAGTAGTAACTTCATTTACCTCCTACATCCAATTGTGATGTACATCTGTAATAATATCTTAATAATAATATGCCTTTAGACAGAACAGTTCTTGAAAGAGAGAAAACCTGGTTGATTATCTTGCCTTTGCATTTCTGTTATCTTTTAGTGAATCATTGTTATTTCATTCTTCGTTAATGTCTAGTAATTTTTACATTTATTATTATACTAATAAAGTGGTCTTGTGTATCAGAAACTAAAGTTTTGATTTAGGTCTTATTTATCTTAATTTTGATTTCTTTGCTTCTATTACTTTGAATAGTTGTCAGAATCACACATTGCCTTATGAACAGTTTTCATTGTAGTTTTAATATCTTACTTTGTATATTTTTAATATTTTCTTTCACCTACAGGAGTGGCATCAGGATTATAGGAAGTTCAGGGAAACAACCATGTATCTCATAATTGGGCTAGAAAATTTTCAAAGAGAAAGGTAAGGCAGAATGATCAAATATGAAAAGCTTAATTTTTGCATTTAATTCTATTCAGATATGACCTTATCTTTAGAAAAGGTTTTATTCACTGTACGTATTTTTAATAAACTTTTAATTTTAGAAGTTTTATCTTTATAGAGAAATTGTATAGTTGGTACTGGAAGTTTCCATATACCCCACATACTTTCCATTTTCAATTAAATCTGTAAGGTTGGCATTAGTGCCTTTGTTTTTATTAGCTCTCACATTCTACAATTGAAGTTTAGGATGGAATAGGATTAGATTAAAGTCTAGAAGTTTGCTAGCGACCAAACAAGCTGGTAGCCCAACACACAGAATTCTTTGTATACCATAATATCTGCCTTTAGTCTCCAGCCTTTTTCATATTCTTTCTGAGTCTAATCTTGACTTCAGAGCAGAGACAGTGTTTCCAATATGTCTCTTTGTCCAAAGTTTCATTACTATAAAAACTATAGCTATAGAAAATTGATCAGCTGTCTTCTAAGTATTATGACTACAAACACATTTTAGATCATTTTTCATTTAAGGTACAGATGGTTTTAAAGGAGTTTCTACTTCTTAAACTATAATATTATTTTTTTTTATTTTAATTGTTATTAAGAACAAAGGATAAATATTGATTTATTTACTTATACACTGATTTGCATTTACTTATTCACATTTTTCTTAACTCATATCCTTTAATATTAATGTACTTGACTAGTGATTTTTTTTAGAACAACTATATATATATATATATATATATATATATATATATATATATATATATATTTAAACATGGTAATTTATTTTATGTGATTGTTTAAATACATTGCTTAAAAATGTTCAAAAGGCATTTTAAAAAACGTATTTAAAAAATAGATATTTTTAACTTATTGGTGAATCACTGAAAGTAAGCAAGTCGCCACACATTTTTAAACCATTCCTGAAACTATTACCTTACATCATTTTTAAATTACAAAACACGGATATTCACTGTGTAATATAACACACTGCTTAGTAGTAAGATTAGTTTCCTTCTAATGTATACTTACAGGGATTATTAATTTGTAGGGTCCAGCAAAGTTATTTTAACTGAGCTGATAGAAACTTAAAAACTAGAACGGTAAAAGGAGTTGAAATCGAGCACTATTCACCTATGAAACTAGTGGTAGAGTTAGCTTGTCTAGAAAGCATTTGTAAAATGTCTTAATCTAACCTGTATTAAAATTTCTATTTCAACTCCAATATATAAACATAAGTTATATTTTTAAATCAGTAGAGGTTATGTTTAGCATAAAATAAACCACAAGTTGTCCCCCAGATTTCTTAAGCATGTTTGTGTTGGGCCTGCAATACATTAGATAAATGAGACAAATGAGTTTTCTTGCTTTGTTTTTGAGAAAACGGGGTAGAGGGAATGGAATCCACATAACTTTATTTCATTTAATAATTGTGTATCTAAAATTAATTTACAACTGTAGACTTTCAAGTAGAACAAGTATACTGAGAACCAGTAGGCATTATTTGTAGATTTTTTTTTTACTTCCAATCTCATAGCGAAGTCTAAAGTCAATAGGTAAAAAATTATTAAAAAGTTAAATTCTAATCACTAATTACATCCAAATTAACCTTGAAAAGGCAGTATTAAGAGTAGTTAAAAAATGGAAATTAGTTACAAAGGAAATAAAGGGCAACAAATACAAAGAAGAAATTGTCAAAGACAGAATACTCTAATGAACTTAAAATTTAAACGAATAATAGACTTGATCTAATCAATAACATGAAACATTTTTTTCAAGCCTCAGTCTGGTAATAATACGGTTTGATAGGCTCAAGGAAGTGAAAAATTAATACTCAGGAAACACTATATGAAAATAACCAACTATCAAATTTAATGCTCAAATGCAATTACTGTATTTCAAAAAATATTAAAAACTAGCTAGTCATTTATTTTGAATCTTTTTACAGTAGCAAAAGTTCCTCTGAAATTTAAGATATTTGAAAACAAATAATTGAACTCTGGGACAAAAATCTTCTTTGTATCACCTATGAACTTCCTACTTGAAAATCTAAGTATACTGTTGCTGAAAAACATAAAGACAACAAAAGTCTCTGTTTTGAGACCACACTAGAATCATTTATCCAAATGACAAAGCTCTTAATTTTAAAAGAAAGTGCTATATTTTCAATACTCTGTAATAATGTATTCAATTAAAAGGGTTATTGAATTCCTTCTTTTCTTTCTTTCTTTTCTTTCCTGGTTTTATATAACGTACAGGAAACTCTCACTGTGATATTGATGCAATTTTGTTTTTAAATGACAGCACAGACTATTACTTCTAGAGCTGTGCTGTCTATCCAGCCTGGTTGCTACCAGACACATGAGACAGTTTAAATTTAATTAATTTTCCAACTAAAAATTCAGCGTCTAAGTCATACTAGCCACATTTTGAATGTTCAGTAGCCAGCTACCTGTGGCTAGTGGCTACCCTGTCAGCCAGCAGAGACACGACACTGCTGTCTTTGTGGAAAATGCTGGTGGCCCTTGCTGCCCTGTTTGGTAGACAGTGAGCACTGCCATCACTTTTCCACTTAGCAAAGTTTAAAAGTTGCACAGAATTAAAAAGCACTGTTAATACTTGGACACAAGTCATCCTGTAATTTATAAGGTAATTCACTTTGGTCACTGAAATAGAGAACTATTTTGATAAGTAGCTCCATTTTATGAGTTATTTTATTTCGGCCACAGTTATATTTCTTTAATAGGAATATTCAAGTTCACTTTAAGAGAGCTGAGATTAGTATTTCTAAGATAAATAGTAATGTGATCTTATAAGTGGACAGAGTAAGATCAAGAAGGCATTTCCATTTTATAGATAAACTAGGCTCCACAGTAATTGCATCCACAGATGCAGTAACTTTTTCAAGGCCACACGATTAACTAGGGAGAAAAAAATTGAAATAGAGATCTGTATTCTTATAAAATTTAATGAAATCAGGTGAGTATTCTTTGGTAAGAACTAAAAGAAGAAGCTGTCGCTTTTTTGCTCTCTGCATTAACTTCTTATATTAGCTTCTCTTGGTATGTTCAAAGTATGTTCAAATTTCATAATTTGCTTATTCTCAAATATATGCTTATTCTCAAATACATGCTTATTCAGAAAGTGAATATTCTGGTGTAGCAAATGTTTATTAAATTGGAAAGGTCAACTAGAAAATTAGTTAATGGTGACAAATAATATTTATGGAATATTACAAGAAGAAATGTTAATTTTACACTTTAAATATAGTAGTTACCACAGCTAGTTGGTTAGAAAATATTGTCAAAAGGTTCTGTACAACTTTTTTTTTTTAAATAAAAACACAAAACTTGAAAACCTTGAATGAATACTGATTGATAGGCCATTGTCAAGTCTGTGAATAGTGAAGTGAAATCATGTTTTTAGGAACCACAATTTTATAATAGTACAAGTGAGGATCAAAAGAGTCTACAGGGTACATGGTCTTATTTTACTTTAAAATAAGAATGTGGTACCTGGACTGCTGAGTCTTACTGTGATTTATTTGAAGATATGTTTGTAAGCACTTTAAAGGTTGATAAAATATGGAAATTGTGTACTTCAGTAGAAAATTGGAACAGGGCCACAGTTTCAGAGCTATTCTTAGAGAGGTGACTCAGGTCTTGAAGGCCAGATATGAATGTCATTCAGTGAGACTTTTTAATAGGAAACTTAATAGCTATAAAAGAGAAGGCAGATGTGCCAGCAGACTAATTTAGTGGTGTAAAACAGTATTTAATGTTATTATCACTCCCTTCTTTTCTTCTTTCATAAATAAAACAAAAAACCTTTACCTGAGGTTATGTTTATATTTTTTCAAAATAAAATCCCGTATTCTTAAGTTTTCTCAAAAACAAGTTCCTGGGAGAAGCCTTTTCAAAAAAGTGTATGATATAACTTATTTTTTATGAAATAGTTTCAGGTGTGTCATATGAGAGGCCATTAATGTGTACATTAGTTTCCAATTCTACATTTATATTCAAAGTACAGAATTGATTTATATTTAAGCACATGAAATTAAATAATAAAAACTTAATGTAACCTAGAGTTTTAAAAGTGTTTCTTTATAATATTTCGCCTTTTAGAATGTTACATTTTTCTAATTAATCCATAAGAAGGTATGTTGAAATGGAAAAACTGGCACAAAGGAGACATCTTAGTATCGTTCATATTTCAGTTATACAAATATACAGCTATATTAATTTCTTACCCCATATTGAGAGAGGATAACGGTTTTAGAGGTAAATAGAATCCTCAAACATTTTTACCTTCCTCCCTTTCTAAAACCTAGTTTGACTTATGTTAATGTAACATTACTAATATTACTTGTTAAACTTTTTATAAAAGACCGACCCGCCAGCTGTTATGTTCCTACACTCTTCTTTGTGTGTGTATTCCACCAGAATGTCCAGCTGTAGAAGCATTTTTTTTTTCCATTTCTACTTCCCCATTTCCTTTGGATATTCTCCCCTCTACCAATTATGTTATTCTCCATGATGAGAACCATGGGTGCACATGGAAAAATACCTGAATAGTCACTGAATGAAACACACGATGTTTGTGATAAAGAAACAAAGTAATCTGACCCTTTCTTCAAACAAAAATGACATTATGTTGTTAAAAAAGTAGATTCTTGCCTTCCCTTTCAGTCTAAATGGAAGACATCAGTGAATCAGGAGAGAGGAACTACCTGAATTCAATAATTACGGGCTTTTTCCTCCCAGTCTTTTCTTAATTCCTAGCTCCATTAAAATTTTTTTTTCAATGTTTATTTTTAAGAGAGAAAGAGAGAGTACGAGTAGGCGAGGGGCAGAGAGAGAGGGAGACACAGAATCCGAAACAGGCTCCAGGCTCTGAGCTGTCAGCACAGAACCCGATGCAGGGCTCGAACTCAGGAACTGTGAGATCATGACCTGAGCCGAAGTCAGATGCTTAACTGACTGAGTCACCCAGGTGCCTCTAGCCTAGCTCCATTTTTTTGTTTTTGTTTTTGTTTTTTTACTTTATGACATAACTATCTCCTGGTCTCAGATGTGGCTGTTGCTAAAACAGCTTTTAGATGATACATTTATTGTAATGTTCTGGCTAATCAAAATTTAAATGTATGCTTAAGTATTTTATAATTGTAGTTGACTTTTTTTTTTTTACAAAGATGAAATAATGCCTTATGTTTCTTTTAATTTTTAAGTTATATAGATTCCTTGCTGTTCCTTATCTGCGCTTATCAGAATAACAAAGAACTCTTGTCCAAAGGCCGATACAGAGGACATGATGAAGAATTGATATCACATTATAGAAGAGAGTGTTTACTAGTAAGTTGAATGTACTTAGGAGGTCATGTTTACGTTATTGTTTTGTCTTACACTGAGCAGATTTTACAGACTCCTATAGAAGTGATTGACTATAAACTCTGATGAGGAAAGTATCATGATGATGACATCATCATGATGTAATCTGGGTATAATCGCTTAAGATGCAGGAATGCACTCAATTATTTAATATCTTTTCTCTTTATTGGTCCTAAATATTGCAGGTGGTAACCGGAAATGTTCTTAATATAGGATCAAAATAATTAATTTTATATTTTGGTTTCTTCATTATTCTACTATTCCCTTTTTTGGTGAGAGAAGGGGGGGACTGCACAGGCCTTGAGCAATTATTATTCCAGAAAAATAATAGATTTTTCTGAGTTTTTTAAAATACAGTAGTAGATTTGGTGTACATAGTGTTAAATGATTCATTGTAATACAGTATCCTTTTTTTCCCAGTCATTGATAGTTTTTTTTCCTCAAATATTTTCACTATGTGCAGAAATATTACTGTTGTTATATAAACTTTAAAAAAGTCTTTTTAGGGGCGCCTGGGTGGCGCAGTCGGTTAAGCGTCCGACTTCAGCCAGGTCACGATCTCGCGGTCCGTGAGTTCGAGCCCCGCGTCGGGCTCTGGGCTGATGGCTCAGAGCCTGGATCCTGTTTCCGATTCTGTGTCTCCCTCTCTCTCTGCCCCTCCCCCGTTCATGCTCTGTCTCTCTCTGTCCCAAAAATAAAATAAACAAAACAAAACA